CTCTTGAAACGTTTACATCACTAACGGGTATGAAACGACTCAAGGCTCAATGGGTTCAATTAACGTCAAATTGAACCCAAGTTGATTTTATCTTGCATCACTTTTAGTCCCAATTTATTACTTCATTTTAATTATCATCCATTCCTTAGTTCATTAAGTCCAAAAGTGAGCTTTAAGTCCTCTAATGGAAAGAAGTACCAAACCAAGAGTTGTTTTAGGCATAAGAGAGATATCATGCCGTTGGTAATGAACCCCCAAAGGGATTAAACCATTAAGCACAACTACCTTAATCTCAAGCTTAAAATAGCAATTAGTTTGAAACAACTTTCAAAACAAAGAAAAAGCCAAGAAAGGAGGGAGGTTGTAGAGGTGATTAGATATGAATACAAGTATGGAAAGTAAGAAATTAACACTATCAACTTAAATAGGTTGGTGGCTAAGGCCTAAACCACCAAACCTATGAGGACCATTACACTACAAGCATGCTATATAAAAACTTAAATGTAATGAACAACTAAACACAGTCCTAAAATAGTCCAAAAAAGTGCTGGAATGAAGACAAAAATAGCTAAAACAATAAGCTAAAATATGGAGCAAGTTAAGCTAGTAAGCAAGCACAAGGAGGAGAGGTTAACCCCTCCATTTTTAGGACTTCAAAACATGATTTTTGCCTCTGAAAAGCCTCTGAAAATTAGTGGTAAAAAGCTCAAAAAAATTTGATGAGATGGTAGGAAACACAAGGGCAAAGGCCTTAGAATCAAGGTTCAAAGAAGGATTGTCAACCCCTCTACCTTTAATGGCCTTAAACCACAAGTTTTAGCCCAAAAAGACAGGGAATAAATAGCTCAAAAACAACAAGAAAAGATGGAAAACAAGTAGTGTAAAGATGGTACAAAAGAACTAGAAGGTATACCTCTTGAAGAGGAATGCTTTTTTGAGTTACAAACCACCAATTTCACACTCTCAAGTGTCTCAAGAGCTCAAATTCAAGCTCCAATCACCTCAGCAAGAAGCTCTCTAGGTTTGGTTTAGAGTGTTTAGGCAAAGGCTATACAAGTTGCAATAGAGAGAGAGAATTGTAGAGAGAGAATTTTTCCAAGATTTTGCTCTCCAAAAATATTTTCTCACTCCTAAATTTTTCTATTCTTGAAAGCAAGAGGGGAGGTCCTCTATATATAGAAAACAATGTGTCTATCTCGGAAATATCTGTATAGGAACAGCTAGTGCAGTGTGGAAACAACTGGCAACAAATATTTGCAAAAAAATTGGCTTTTTTTACACAAGTGGCCGGTAGGCAAAAATCTGTTTCCAGGCCCGATTTCAAATGGGTATATCTTCTTCATCCAGACTCGATTTTAGGTCATTCTTGAGTCTAAATTAAAGCCCCGGAAGTCTAATTTCCAATGGTGGTGAACTCACACCTAAATTTTAAGTGTACAAAGAGATATGCCTATTTTAGTGAAGGATGCTCATTTTTGTCCTAACGGATTGATGCCTAACTTCTTCCCTAACTAGTTTTCTTCCTTCTCCTCCAATTTTCTTCAACTCCAAACTTACAAATAAGATGTTTTAAAGATTTTTTTTTAAAGAGTTCACCTCCCTTCCATTTTATTTCCACTTTGTCCTTACTCGGTTTACCAAAAAGTGTAATATTTTAAACGAAATGCGAGTCTCAGAACATCGTAAAAACATTTTCAAAAATATTTTGAAAGAGAGGGTTTTAAGGTCTAAAATAGTTTTGGTTCAAAATAGGGTGTAAGGTTGGGGTTTAGAAGCTGTTCTTGCTGAAGAAATCGAACATTTGTATAGCATAACTTTCATCATCGAGTAATCAACTTGAGGTGCCCAAGTCTTAAGGGCGGTAAAAAATGAGGTGTCTTGAGGTGGCCAAGTCTTAAAGGCGGTAAAAAATGGGGTGTCTATAGCATGGCCCCAATAAGTGGATTGCTCTTAATGGGAGTTGTACCTAACACCTAAAAGGAGCACACATCTAAATCCGAAGTTGCACTTGCTAGGCCAAATGGACAATACTTACTGAATAGAGGTTATCCAACAAAAGCAAGCACCATGACACACAAGATTTGGTACAAATGTGATTTGGTACATAGGATTTGACACATAGCCTACCCAATATTTTAAAAAAAATAAACAGTTCAAATTATTAAAATGAATCCTAAAATAGGCATAATAAATTGCAAAATAGCAACCACTCCAAATCCTGATACACAAGGCATATGTAGTCAACATGAATGGCTTTATTTAAGGAGTAGCAGGTTCTTGGAACGACACAAGATGACCCTACCAATGCACTACAACCGTGAAATTATATGAAGTTCAAAGAAGGTTTATGTAGATCCATGTCGCAAATAATTCATTTATTGGAAGAATGAGCATATCATTTCCTTGACTCTGTGTCTCAAATAGTTTCAATCAAATCCAATTTTCAAAAAGTGAAGAGATTTCTCTTGTTTTGTTGTATTTACTTTATTTTCCTTTAATTGAAACCTTCCCTTCAGTTTCGTAGCAG